AAATAACGATGCACAAGATCAGATCCATCGCGCGCGCGGAGCTTGTTATGAATCTTCGCGATGCTCGCGCATGTTTTACACCGGCGAGAAAACATTTTTATTTGCATTCATTATTCAAACAGCTCGATTCTGCTCTTGATATTTACACGGAACAATGAGATAGCACAATATGGAGAATGAGAGAGAGAGAGAAAAGAAAGAAAAAACGCTCGATTCAGCAACAGACAATTTCATGTCTTCTTTGTCATCATCATGCCCATCTCTTCGGAATGGTGTTCGCACATACTTCGATTACAAAGCAATTGCATTATTGTGTAGGAAAAAAATAAGCGTGTATACCTTGCAAATTATCTCTTTTTTCTCCTGACATAATAATACGTTATCGCTCTGCCTTGTTTGCTTTAATCAAATTGCACGAATAGAAGTTTCTCTCTCTCTCTCTGCAGCAAAACCAATTCATCAACAAAAAATATTGAAGCGTTATCGCGTTTTCGTTGTAAATATCACTGCAAATATCAAAACCGCTTGTGTATACTTTGGCTCCAGCGGCCGAATTTATGTTTATGATTGAACATGTATATTATTTAACTTTCAAAATTACGATTCAACACATAAAAATACTTTTATTTATAGAGTGGCAGCGACAAAAATGTGCATCACGTTGCTCTCTTCTTTTCTCGAAAATTCCCTGCGGAAAAGACATAAATTTTGTCTCTCGATAAAAACGTCAAGAACAAAACAAACCGAAAATGCGACCGTTTCATCTTGCTTTGGGTGTTATTCGGTTCGTTTCAACAGAGAGAGAGAGAGAGAGAGAGAGAGAGAGAGAGAGAGAGAGAGAGAAGGAGAGAGACGTAGAAAAAAAGAGAAAAATAAACGAATGAACACAGACGATTTCGACCAAATCTCATAAACGACTGATAATTCAGCGCATTAATGACATCACTAGAACTAACGACATTCGCTATGGCACGGCCGGCCTTCATTTCGACAAATGCACAACCTTTGCCCTTGATCTTGATATTGTGAACCGTAGTCTCACCATGAATGAGATTTTTAATTTTCTAAATGATTCGGTGCTCAGCCGCTTATTCCGAAGATAACGACGATAGATTCAAAATCTCAAAATGAATCAGACATTTTTCATGCATCATTTAGACGAATAATTTTAATGGATTTTGTTTCACGCAAAGATGTTTTTATTTGAAAAGTTAAGAAGAAGAATAAAAAACGAACTAAAACTGGAGATGTTCATGTTACTCGCCTGACTTGGCACACAACATATGGCAAAAACTCAATAAATCGCTTTTCACTCGAGCAGAAGTGCGCAATAATGTGTTCTGTGTATGTGTGTATATGTTTCATCACTTTAATTTTAGATGAAAAAGGGCGGCTAAATTGAAGTACATGAACGAACAAACGATTTCAAGCCTTTCATTTACATTAATTTGAAAATTTTATGGCTTTTTTTCGACTCGTGTTCGCCAACTCAAAAGGCCATTGTTTTTTAAAAACATCTTCATTTTCTCATGTCGACGCTCGTTCAATGCTAATTTCAAGGGATTCGCACTTTATTTCCCAATTTTCTATTTTAAGAGCAAACACTTCAATCGCCACTCACTCCATTGTACTCATTCATTTCGATGAAGAATACAAGCAATATCGTTGAAAAATTCAATCGCAATCAAATAAAATGTTTATCATGTTCAGAATTGGTTCGAACTTTATGCGTGTTGTATGCACTACACAGCAGTTGGATAGAACAATATGTTTATTGAGCTGTAGTCGCCCAGTTTTGGTAGCGGTTAATCATTGACACATTGACAAAAATGAGCGAGAGCAAAGGAGACGACCTTTCTTCAACATTCATGTTTGCACTATAAATTGATTTATCCACATTTGTATTGAAGAGATGAATAATATACAATACATTGAGAATAACCATCGGTATAATTCCTTTTGATCCTATAGATTTAGGCCGATTTACTGAAAATGGCTTAAAATTATCAAAAGCTAGATCAAAAGTATCAAAAACTCCTTATTGTATTTCATTACGTTTGTAGACAATCACGCTTGTTTTTCGACAGAGTCCATTTTCTTCCATGGCACTTCCTAAAATAGTCATTTCCTCATTTTCATCAGCTGAAGCGTCATTTTTTCAAACTCCCATAAATATGTTTACCAAAAAACTTTTATCGGTTCAAGCGAAAGTACTATAAGATTTCGGTTTGATTTGGAATATAGCGGAATTTTTGAACAATCCTTTGAAAAGTAAGAAAAACCTTTGAGCAATTCAAAAAAATAAAACCCATGAACAACTTCACTTATTATTTTGGACTATTTATTTATTGAACTCATTTTTTAAAATAAAATAAGTAATTTCATTACAATAACAAATCAAATCTCAATCAGGTTAAGTTTGGTAGCGATGAAATTGATGACATAAGCTACTTTCCGATTTTGTAGAAACGCAGTCTGTATATTAAATTTGTCGGCGACTTATCGCCTGGTATCAATGGATCATCATGAAATTGAATGGTGATAACATCATACTTTTGGACTTCAGATTTTAGTGGATGGCCAATTGCATAATTTTCTGGGGGATTTTGCTTCAATCGAATTTCGTACAAAAATCCAGGTCTAATAAGAACCGGTGTGGATAACGCAAACTCATCAATTGTTAATTTTGCTTCCCCATTGTACTTCACCACTTCTTCCTTAGAATCATAGGGAACGGACATTTCGACTATAGTAATTTCTGTTGAAACCACTTCACATTTAGTGTATTTTCCGTTACGATGGATCTGAATGTAATCAAAATTGAAACCTATTAGCAAAAGTGGCTCGTTGCTGGAGAACTTGGTTGTTTCCAAATTTTTGATAAAATATGGTGCAATCACTTTATATTTTGTGTGCAATCGATTGCAATAAAACACTTTATTTGTTTTCCATGGATCTGAATTGCTGCGTTTCTCGCGATTTCCATTGAACATTACCGCTTGGAATTCTTTGTTTGTAATAATTTGAATGATGTCTGCATATTCGTTGCCCATGAACAGATGTCCATACGCTGGCATCAGTGCTCCAAATTCATCGAATGACATCGATCCAAATCGAATATCATAAAGTGAATCACCTAGTTTAACTTGCACTTGTTCCTTGGTTAAATCACCCTCCTCGACAGTTGCTTTCACCCAAGACATGCATGCCTCGAAGAGCTCGATCTCTGTGCACGACAACCAATTCAGTCTCAAAATCTCGGCCAACACTTTTTGATCGCATGACAGAAAACCAGTTGACTTCAGCACAGCATTTGAATTGAATCCGATAAACGTTTCACATGCCTTTTTTAGATTGTCTTGGTTGAAGAGTTTTGCCAATCCATAGTTTCGGCAAACGTTGTCATCGTTGAGATTGTTTTTCAGGAACTTGCTGCACACCGCCAAACATTCGGTCACATTGTACATTTCACCGAGATTCATTACTGCGGCTATGTTTTCCATGGTTAGATTGACTTCACCAAAGTAGAAAAACTGCAGAAATTCCTTGAAGGCAGCGGCTGACATATCGACAATTTTCACCTCATCCTTCTCCTTCCACGATCCATTGAACATTTTGACGAAGACATCACTGGCCGCCATCAAGAGTATTTTGTGCGCCGGCACTCGTTCGATGTGATCATTTGATTCGAAGACAAAGTGAACATCGGCCAATTCAGAGTTCAAGTACAGCTTTTCTCCAATTGCCGACAACAGTTGAGTTGCGTAGGCACTGTTTAATGGATCGAAAACTAGCATTGTTGTTGACTGTGTTCCTTCTTCACGACAGATGTACTGCAAAATAAACAACAAATTGTGTTACATATTTCATTGATTTGAAATTGAACTTGAGTTGAATTAGAAAATACTTAAACTGATATTCACTTTCACTCACCTTCAAATGTGGTTGAGGTTATGCTCGATGTTTGTGTTCAAATTTACCGGTTTCCAGAGAAAAATTGAATGTTCGGCTGCAATATGACATTTGTTAGTTTGTATGAAATCCATTTATTCATTCGACTATAATCAATTCTCATTTCAATTGCAAAATTTATTGCTTTGAATTATGAGTTTGGTGTCTTACCTTCAGATTGCAGTTGTCTCTGCAAACAATAAACAAGCGCTCAATTGTTTGTCTCAACTATGTAATCACTTCAATGTTCGGCTCTAATCGATTTGTTTTGTTGACAAGTGTGGATTTTCGGAATGATTTAATCGAATCGCGCACAAAAACAATATGAAATTATGATAGTATTATTTATTGTGCATTCAATGAAACGTTTCTATTCTCAAAATCATGAACACCGAACGATTGCGTAAAAATAATGTTTTCAGTTTTGACGTTTGGAACGTTTGGATTCCCTTTCGTATGCGTGTTGGTATTCGTGCGATGTGCATAGTGCTGGATCATAGAGCTGTGCTGGCAATGTATTGAGCCGGCATTTTGGACAGCGATTGGTGCTATTGTACCGTACAAGCGAAAGGTAGAAAGAGCAGACACAACTATTTTTTGCACACACTCGACAAAGTATCAGTTGGTATGTGAACTCACTGTGTGTGTGTTTGACTGTGTGCGGTACAAACAGCGCGCTAATGCTTTAAAAACAAAAACTAATATCTATCGCTAGAGCAAACGTCACATTTGTTTATTGTCTCTCAATTCAATTTGAAAATCCGGATGTTTTTTTTCTAATGTAAGTGATGTAAAATCAAATCTATATCAAGCAATCATTTGTTTCATTCACTTCATTGTACTTCTATGAATTCGTCCAAATTAAATGGAAAGAAAAAATCAGCATTATTTCGAGGGACGGAGATCAATTTTAGCTGTGCACAGTTAAATGTAAACTCCAAAATAACCGCTGCATGTGCATTCTCCCCCTTTATATCGAATAACTGTTTGTGCAGTAGCACAATACAGAGCATGTTCAGCTCGAATTTATTTATAACTGATGTCATCCGAATGCGCGACAGAACAAAGACTCGACAATATTCGACATCAAACGATACATTGTTGTTGTGAATGAAAAATAAAACATGAAAAAGGAACAGTGAACAGACGACGACCGCGACCACCATCTCTCGTCTGTCAAAATCATGTAATTTGTCGAATTTCACATTTTAACTAATAAACGAATGACATCATGTGTTGTAAGGAAAAAAATACACATTTTTGCTTGTGTTTTTGTCTTTATTTCTGCCTCAAATATGGTTAAAACTAAAAGAAACTCTTCTGCCATCGCTCGCGCCGTTTCTGAAAACATACCATTTTTGGTTAGTCGACAAACGAATTGACACGTTATTTCCTCCAGCTTTTATTGACATGTTCATCGTTTTTTTTTCGTTTGAGATTCTAATGAAAATTGAATGGCTGTTGCAGTTTATGATACAAGTTTTTATAACATGTGTTTATGACAATTTCGATCGTCAATTAAAGAATTCAGCATGTGATGAAGCTTCAACCATAGCCCATAGATAACAATCCGTTTCGAAGAAATTGATGGGAAAAAAGTTGAACAATTATCTTTTGTTAAAGGGGATGCAGAATGGCAACAAAAAGTTATTCTCAACAAGAAGGCAAAACATTTAATTTTAACAAGGTTCTAATTCGGAACACTTTCCCACTTCCGAAGTCGATAAAAAAAGTCGAAAACAATGAACCAACTTTGACAAGAATCTAAATAAAATCTTCTTCATCTATTAATTAACGTTTCATGCTACAAAAGTGGCAATTAAAGTGTGATAATGATATGGGTGCAATGCCAGAGTGCCAGAGTGTACCCATTAAATATATGTTGAGCGAGACTCAAAAGAGTCGGCAACTATTCATGTGGGTTCCACTGGAATCTCGGGCGTAAAATGAAAATTCGAAATTTATCAGCCATATTTTTGTTCTGTGGAGCAAGCGACAATGTTTCCATTCGAAATGACACAGCACACACACACAGCAGTTCATGTGGGTTTGGAGTGAACGCAAGTGAATGAATATATAAAACGAAACAGATGCAATTTCGGTTTGTGTAATTTGTAATATCGGTTAATAATGTTAGATAAATTATGAATGTGTGCCATACATGACGGCCGCATGTGACACGAATCGAGCCTACTGTTCAGTTGTTCAAACGACAGTATTGAGCTACTTTAAATTCAAATAATGGTCAACAATGCAAATGCCATATACGAATGCCGTAGATGTACCGAGCTCACATGCTGTTTTCGATCGTAATCGGCTCGGTAGGTGCGTACAAATGCGTGCTTGAGGTGTGATGTTTCTTGAACCCAAATTATTACTCACGTCTCTCTCTCTCTCTATCTCTTTCTCTCTCTCTCTCTCTCAATTATATGTGTATATGTGTTTTCATGTTGATGTTCGGCAAAGCAGAACGAGATACAATCGTATCGATTGTCATGTGTCGGAAAAAACTGCAATCGCACGAATTTTTTTCTCTCTCTCTCTCTCGTCTTCCGTTTCAGTGTAAAAATATATAAACGCCAGTTTATACCAAGAAAAACGCAAACATCATCTCTTTTCTGTATCGATTTCATGCAGCGGCTAATGACTTCTCTGTCGTTTCATCACCAAAGCGTGAACATGCTTGTGACATCCGATACTGCACACATACACACTGTTTGCGTTTGTACACGCTAACTCAACATAACGGACCGAAGCAAGAAAAAGAATAAGAAGAAAGCATAAAACACAACCATCGATTTGTTTACGAATGAAGAGAAACAGTTGAACAGATTGTTTATCGCTCTGTGACGACACTGTTCGTGTGCACTTTGTTTACAAAAAGAAAACCAACCCGAAGGACTGTTTGTGTGTGCTTGTGACAGCACTCTCAGATGATGATTTTAAAACTAATTCTTTATGCGGCGATTTGACGTTTCGGTATCGTTCGGATTGTTTTTTTTGCATTTGGTTAGTTCAAAGGAGAATGTGAGCCAGTGAACACACAGACGACAGTCGTAATTGAAAGTTTTATCAATATGGCGGCCTCAGAGCTGAACATAGACAAAATTGTGCAAATTTTTCGTGATATTGTGAAACGCAAAACTACGTACAATGAAACCAACCTTCATTACGAGTATTACAAACGAGCCGGTGATACCATTCCCTACAAAGCACACGGATACGAATCTTTACGCGATTTGATTCAAAAACAAGCCAACGACATGTTTTACTTCGAAAAAGTTGGCAACGATTTGGAATTCATTGCACCAAAACGTGTCGACGATTCAACTGCGTATTCGGAGATGAATAAAGGAGTGAAAAAGATGTCATTGGTGAAGACAATTGAAGAGAGCGGATGTTACAGCGGTTCGAATAAGTCAAAACGAGTGCGCGTGTCGAACAATATCTATTTTAGTCAGCCACAATCGACCGGTGTGAATAATCCGTTCCAGAACATTCGCAACGACATCAAAATTTCGTTTGATTTTGGTTTGCAGAAACGTGAAGTGGATCGATGCTCGTCAATTGACAGTGAAACTATTTCGGAAGCGAAAAGTCTTGCAAATGACAATCAACAATCGAATAGTACAGGCGACATGAATAGCGGCACTTACTCATCGGCACGAAACCCTTCGGAAACAATGGATGTTGATACACAAGACGGTGATTTGCCTTGGGATCAAAAGTACTGGCATTTGAAAGTCACACATCCAGTGTCTAGCAATGAAATTTGGGTACGGCTGTTTGATGAATTCGATGTGAGTTTTGGAATTGTTCACAATTTTTGTTCCATATTTCATTGAAATTTTTCGTGATTCATGCAAATTTCAATTGGTTTCCAATTTTTCATTTTTTTTCTTACAGGATCGAATGCGTAAAATGACATCAAAACTCATTCAAACGGTGGCTTTGAATCCAAAACGTTCACGAATCCAAATTGGTAATGAATTGTATGTGGTCAGAGACAAGCAGAGCTGCTATCGTACCATTGTACTGAAGCTCGAGACGGAAATTAATGAGTGCAAGTGTTTTATGGTTGACATCGGCTGTGTCAAGTGGTGCGATGAAGAGGATATTTTTGGTTGCCCACATGAATTTCGTGAAATACCACCAATGGCGATCCGGTTCTCTCTATATGGACTGATCGAATTCAAGGAGAGTCGTGGTGCCAGTGAAATCATTGCAATGGAACTGGCAAACAAGGAACTGTGGGCTAAAATCAAGATGAAGCCAAAAGAGTTTCGCAAGCAAGATGGCAAACGCACACCGATTCCTGCCATTTTCTATGATTCCGTCGACCGATACAATCGTGTGAACATCAGTGCTGATATCATGGAAAAAATGGTTGTCACATTCAAACCACCGAAATTGTCGAAGGGCCGCACCAACTACGTCGCCGTCACACACGTTTCGAAAGTGACTGGCAACATTTACGGCCATGTGATCAGCAATTCCACCGATCTAAAGTACGTGAATGCAATGATCGAAGCCCTGGTCGAGAATGGTGTATGTCAATGCTACGAACATTTCGAATCCGAAACCGACTTACACGAACTGCTCGCCATTAATGCCAACAAACTTTATTTGATTTACTCCGAACACGATCAAACTTGGTATCGCGCCACGATTTTGCAATTGGAAACCGATGTGAGCGCATCGAAGGAAAAGAACATTTGCAGCCGTTGCAGTGTGTATTGCTTCCTGGTCGACTATGGGAATACACGAGTTGTCAACTTGACAAATGTTTACGGTCTGCGTATGGGAATTTTGGCACAATACCCTCATCTAGCGATTGCGATGACATTGGAAGGTGTGCACATGACTCGTGACAAAATCGATCGATTGAAAACGCTTCTGCTCCCCGGTGACAACGTGTTCGTTGACGTTTACCAAACAATGGACTGTGGCGATAGCAACAGAACCAAAACCATTTCGCTGGCCAAAATATCAAAACTCGAGAAAAGTGCCATCAACAACGAAACGTACGTGTGCGAAATCAATCGACTCATGAATGGAACCAATTAAGAGCATGGTCACAAACGAATAAATGTTCTGATCTGAATTTGATTGCCGGAATTTAACATTTAGAAAATATCAAATATTGATTCAGGAATAAGTTTATATCCCAAAAAATCTATACGAATGTATTTGAAAATTTGAAAACTGAAGACTTAAAGAAGCAAACCAAAATGAAATATAAGTTATGACTCATTTCAGTAATGTGACTTAAGTCGAACAGGATTTTCAACTGGCAATTTTCAATAAAGACGTTGATATTTTCATAATCCCATTGTTATCTTGTTGCTTGTTAAGTTCTTAAATAGTTTTTTTTTTCATAGGATCTAGGAACAGGAGCATCTAAGTCGAATGTTTGAGCTGATATCAAATTGATAATCTGCTGAATTCGATTCGGTTCACGTTCGGTTGAAAGGTAAGAAATTCAAACTCTTAAGAACTCAAACTCTTGAATAATTTCGTTTCGAAAAAGTAAGGCGGATATTGAGAAGAATTCTGGTGCATTCATGAATATTTTCCCATAAATCACTTCGCTGAAAGCACTTTTCTACTTCACATAATACGAATAAATCCGTCTAGTCATCCGTTCGGATGTCATCATCGCCCCTGAAAATCGATTGCATGTTCAATGCAATGGAAAGAGAGAGAAAAAGAAAAAATGAAATACGAACGCCGACAGCTAAATCCTGATATATGTGCACATGTGTGTGTGTATTTGAACGGTGTAATTTTAATGGATTTGTCGATTGTTGAAATATGTGTGTAGATTTTTTTTTCATTCTGTTTTATTTGTTTTGCTTGTTTGATTTCTTCTAAACGCTCAAATTGCTGACTATCTCCCCATCGCTTTCTCAATGATGCTGTGCTACCACATTGCAGTGCATCAACATTGTCGAACAATCACATTCCTTCTCAACCACTATTCTGTTTGCCTGATTTCGTAATCCGATTATTGTTTCTCTCTTCTTTTTTAATATCTGTCTGCAACAGATTCGTTTTCTCGTGATTTTATTTGGAATTGAAATAAAAAACTGAATGCATTTTGCCACTGCGATGGCATTGTTTGGTTCAAATTGAGTTGAAGTCCGGTTTTATGGTCAGAAAATTGCATTCACGCTGTTGATTGACGAAACCGCTACGAGGGGGAAAAGTGAAAAAACCAGTTTTGCTTGTGGAGCAAAAAAATGCCGAGTATTCGATTTGATTGACCGTTATTTGTGACATAACAATGGTTTTGGATTGAGTCGATGGAACGTACGGTTTCATTGAATGGTGACGGTTCGATAAAAGGCTTCTCGCAACGAAAGTAACCACTTCTTTCGCCCGAATCCGAAGCTCATGCAGGGATTTCAAAAACAATGACCCTTTGATAACTTGCAATGTTTATACATTCAATTCTCCTTCCACAATCACACGAATCTGTATCACTTCCGTATGCAAATGGAACGAGACAAAAACTTTATTTGTCGTATGCAAAGATCTGAGGGAAGCGATTGCAGAACAAACAGCATTTAGATGAATGTATACGGAAATTTACGATGTTTGAACGTGGAAAGAATTACGCAATGGTGTTGTGTTTGTTTGCATAAATTAGAACATGATGTTTCAACTCTCGATTGAGCTCGAAGAATATCTTATGAGAATTGAAGGCATTAGGCCATCGTTAGCAGTTACTGTGTTTGAATGTTCGTAAAGAGTCGACATCACACTCGGAACATCGCATATGGAACATAAATAAACATTGTAAACGCATTGTGTTGCGTATCGTATCCATCGGCAGCCATTTGTTGAATATTTTCTGTGGTTGCGACGGCACATATGTATGTATCAAATGCATTAGAATATTAGCTTCGACGGTTCCATTGACGTCACGGATTAAATGGGTTTGCTTTCGCTTGCGAACAACCATTGGCAGTGATTGTGCTATAATCGTCCCACACAATGTGGAAATATGATTTCATTTCAATCAATAATGTAAAACAAGGAAAAATCCGTTTGTTCGCTAAAATGGTTCACGAGAGACATGAGGAAATATTTTCCAACCAACATATTTTTATCATCATTCAATAGAAATGCCAATCATTTGCTTTGATTATTTCGAAACAAACTGTTTTTTTTTTCATCATTGACGTCGGCTACGACAATGAATCCACATTTGTGTGCTCTCAAATTTTATTTACGTTTAGCGGGTGGAAACAGAGCTACAATACGGTTGCCGGACCTTGTTATCAATTTGAGATCGACATGTGCTAGATGTTTTTAGAAGAAAAAAAAATGAAATCGACTGTGTAGATATTGATATAGCAAAAAAAAAACAGAACAACGAAAACCAATTTGCGAGATGGTTTGGCAACAATTGTTGGTAATTGGTCGATATTGTTGTCATTGACTCATCTGACGACGTAAGTGCATTGTTTGATCAGGTGAGAGACACTTATTGCGACAAAAAAGAATTAGTAGCACAAAATATTCATTTTCATCTCAGAATGATATCCATTGTTTGATATTCATTTGAATATTTGCGTGATGGTTTCTCGAAGTTTGAGAATTCGAATTGAAATACCAAAACAAACTCTCTTGAAAATAAGAAAAAGAAATATATGCAAACCAGACAAAAAAAGGAAAGACACACGTCAGGGCCGTCAAAACGTGACTGTTGGATTAAATTCACAATTTATAAGCACGTCCATGACAAACACTGACACTTGTCAACGTCAAAAACTTTGCCGTATGAATTCATAAAACTTATCTGATCACTGTCCACGTATTACGATACATCGATGTGATACGGTAAACGTTGCGCATGGATATTTTTGCTTCGGAGAACTTCAATTTTTCGATTAAAAATCCAGCAGTGAATGGCTCATGTGGGCAAAAGATGTTATGTGTATTTATGTGTAAGGTCACTCCCAAAGTTTCCTCTCGTTGGATTCGGGGAATTTTCGCAACCGATAAATAAAATGCCGATGGCAAAAATTTTCATTGTTATTTATTAACCCGTATTGACCGGAAAACAAGCGTCTACTGGTTTGATAGTCTCGTTGTGGCTTTTCAATGTCTCTGTCTCTCTTGCACTTGGTTTCGAGTGAACAGTAATGAACCTCGTCTGTATGGATAATATTTTGCTATTTTCTGTGCGCCAAGGATTGGTCTCTGTATTCGAAAATGTGAACTGGGATTTGAAGCATATTAGAGAGGATAAAGTCGCTAGTTTACAGATTAGAAATGTTATTTCTGTTGCTGTTGCTGTTGCTGAGTTTGTTTACCAAACGCAATTGGTTTGTTTGCTGCAGGCACTGGCAGCTTCAGATTTAATTGATTCTAAAGTGCTTTCTGTAATTAAAAATAGATTAACTCGAAACGAAAATGAATGCCTGAATTTTCCATATTTTTCAAAAATGAAAAAAATTCATAAAACGAGAAGTTTTTCGATGGAGAATCACTTTTCAAATAGAATTACAGTTTTCGATGAGTTGGTGCGTTTGATTTTGAAAAGTTTTAAAAGATGTAGCTGCCAATTTGGACTGTAATTGGATGCCAGTTCAGTGTTGTGTTGAAAAATGTTCAAATCAGCAGCAGTCAATAGCAACAATAACAACAAAAACGAGAAGAAATCTCATTTCATTTCCTATGTAGCTGATCATTTGTCGTTGTCCATTTGTCTGTCTGTGTTGCAAAAACTTTAACATATTCCACCCATTTTACACATATTTTGACATATTGTAACACGATTCTACACTTTGACCAGCAGAATCAATGATGAAATGCGAGAAAAAATAGAAAACGAGCGAACATGGATTTCGTTTGGACTTTTGTCTATTTTATCTTGTTCTGTGAAAAATAAAAGAGATAAGGTTTTATTTTCAAACATGCTGGTGAATTTGCTGGCCACACAATACTTGATACATGCTGCTGAACACATCCTACGATCAGCTTCAATTTCATGGGAATCACATCGAAACGTTGCCGAACATGCGAAGTACATTGCAATATGTGCGAGTGTACAATTCTCAGTGAGATGTTCTTGCAATTCTCAGTGAGATAGAGTGAGTGGTTCTTGCATCGAAACTTTGCTACAAAATCTTCTCAATCAATATCGATATCGAGTGTGTGTGTGTTTGCTTGAGTACGCGCGACTCGGCACAGAATGATGTAGAAACCAAATTGAACGGCTTTGATAAAATAAAAAGAGTTCTTCGGCTAATAATGTTCTTTTTTGCGTACGCGTTGCCATGTAGAACATTGGCATTTTGCATGGATATTAGTAATACAACACGAATCAAACTGTTATTTAATGCACTATTCATGGCCATTGCAAAAACAGAATTCGACGAGCTATCAGAGACGAAACAACACACTTTTTGCTGCTCCATCTTCTTCTTCTTCTCCCCAGCTCTTTTACGCGCTCTGGGTATGTGAATAGCAAATCCATGCGAAACGAGAAGCAACGCCAAGAATTTTTGTGCAAGCACAGGAAATTGCGATTTCAAGTTTAAACATTAGCATTACGTGCTTTCTTATTGTTGCTTTTGTGGATTGTCGATACAGATAGACAGCAGCAGCAGCAGCAGCATTTATGCTATTTTCAAAATAGTAAAATTAGTTGGATTTGCACTTATTCGCATATGTTTCGTTTATCTCGTAATAAATTTACGTGTTATTTCGCTTCGATTATTTGAATCTGGATCGAGAGATTGAGACGCGATGCAATCGCAAATACGCTCAACATCTCTGTTTCCATAGAGTGCATGAGCTTCGCTCGGCACATAGAACACGAGTTTGACTCGAAGAAGAGATAGTATGAGTTTGTTTTTCGAGTAAACTACCGATTTCACAAAGTTTTCGGCAAAAACGTGCGTATTCGGTGAGATATCGCATCTCACGGCTTAGTGTTTGCAGACAGTGCAAGAATGTGAAAAGTTCATCGACACTCGGTAACAAAATGGTTGCATGCGAATAGAAGACGAAGAAAAACGTATGCAAATCGACAGCGAAAATACTCGATAAACAAATCAGCGCATTTAAATTGAAAACAGCCGTCAAATAACGCGCGCATTTTTCTGTATTCCTCAAGTGTTTATCGACAGAGAATGGCCTGTGCTCTTTATCGGGAGCACAGCACTCGCGCGTAATACGGAAGCAAAATAGAAATTCCACATCTAATGGAACAATGCTTTTATATGTGTCGATATAGAGGTAGAGAAAAGAATTTCGTATTAAAATTTTCCAGCTCAAGCACTGCAAGAGTTTGCAGTGATTCTTGTTTACA